GAGAGAGAGAGAGAGAGAGAGAGAGAGAGAGAGAGAGAGAGAGAGAGAGAGAGAGAGAGAGAGAGAGAGAGAGAGAGAGAGGCGTAAGGGCGATGACGGCGGCGCTGACCGTCGTCGCAGCGGCTGGAAGTTTGCGGCAGGCCGCAAGTCGGATTTGCACGGCGACCGGTCGCCCGTCCACGTGGTCGCTGCCTCCGAAAACCTGCCACGGACGACCGTTGGTCCGAGGGTCACCCGCCACGCCGTTGCCGGTACCGTTTCCACTTCCGACCTGCCTCCGGTGGACCGGAAATGGACTGACATCCGCCTTTCCCCGATTTTTTTTATTTTTTTTTTTTTCGGGAAAGTCATCGTTTGCCGACCCTCCCTGACGTCCGAAGTCTGCGGGGAAAATGGGAAAACTGGCAGTTTTCCCTAATTTCCCAACAGTGGCACATGTACTAGTGGTTTACAAAAATAAAAAAAAATAAAAAAAACGAAAAAACAAGTGTGCGTTTTTTTTTTTCTTTCTACTAGACGGATGGCAGTCACCCACAGTACTCGGCCACTCGGTTGTCCAGATGAACCCCTCTGAAGACCCCACCCACCCTTCCTCTCATCTTTTTTGCCCTGGCGCACCCCCACCCCCCCTGTCCTTCCCTAGTGTTAACCCCCAGGACCATCACCCATTGCCATCTTGAGGGGGTGACCTGACCAGACAGTGGTTGCAGGCACCGAGGCTAAGCAGAGACCCCTACCCCTTGCTCAACCCTGGTTGAAGCAGAAGCCGTACAAGCCTGATTGCACGGGGACTTCGGGAGCTAGGTATGAACACGTTACTACAGGTCTTCATGAGGGTGCACAGTGACTCTCATCTAGCTTAGTTGTAGCTTAGTTGTGTGGTGATGATAGAGAGCTGGGTATCCTCCGTTCCCTCGTATGTCCCTGGAGCCCGTTCCGGCCCTACAGTAAGGTGCAGTATTTCCTGACACCCCCGACATCCCGTACTAAGGAACTGCTATGCCAGCCTCAACCCTATGCTACGTACTAGGAGGATAGCCAGCCCTAGGTCATGAGTTATGTACGAAGTTTCTTATCCTTTATGTTGTCTCAATACAGTGTTCTATGGTGTTGATGGTACAGAGATGGGGATCCTCTGTTCCCTCGTATATCCCTGGAGCCCGTTCCGGCCTTGCGGTAAGGTGCAGTATCTCCTGACACCCCCGACATCCCGTACAAAGAACTGCTATGCCAGCCTCAACTCTAAGCTACGTACGAGGAGAATAGCCCACCCTTAATCATGAATCATGGACTGTATCTATTGACTCATCGATGATCTATTAACCCTATGTTGTATGGTAATCTAAGAGCAGACAATCCTTTGTTCCCTCGTATGTCCCTGGAGCCCGTTCCAGCCCCACGATAAAGTGCAGTATATCCTGACACTCCCGACATCCCGTAATAAGGAACTGCTATGCCAGCCTCAATCCTTTGACCACGTACTAAGAGAATGACCAGCCTTAAGGTTTCAGTCTGGTCTCAAACACAGGACCTTATGTGAATCGTGCAAGTGACCTAACCTATTGACCTAAATTGTGAAATAGTCTGTAGTTGTGCTCTGCTGGGCTCGAGTAAACCGGACTGTGCAAACCACCCTGCAGTCTCATGACAACCCTGTTGACCAAGAACCTGAGGATACCCACCATCGCCCAGTCCTCACATACAACAACCGTGGACTACCCCTTGGTGGTGCGCAAGCAGTGTCTGTAATAACTTACCTGTGTCATCCCCACGGGGTGTGTGTCCAATCGTGCGTCATTCTAACGCGCTGCCCGTGTCCATGCACAAGGCTGCGGAGTTTTGAACCCGCAACCTCATACCACAATGCGCATTTCCAACTGGTGCTCTAACCACTGAGCTACATAAAGTGGATCAAAAGACAAGTAACAAAGAAACAGGTTAGGGCAACAAAACTAGAAAAAAAAAATTGCAATGGGGGTTTTCCGCAGTCTTGGAGAGGAGCCCAAATCTGGGCTCTTTTCTTTTTTTGGAGTGTTGGCTTTGAAGGGGGGGGCAAGGGGGGTATAAATTATTTTTAAAGCTGCTGAAGGGGCTTAAAGCGGGGTGCCTTGGTGTGATTTGCTTACTTTCTTTTTTATCGTCAGTTCCGTGAGAAATTCTAGTGTGACCCTCAGCCGAAAGTTGTTTGTATTGCAATTCTACACAACTTTCTTTTTTTTTTTTTTTTTCTTTTTTTTTTTTCCTTGGCGTTGGGGCAGCCCGGGACCCTGCCCGGGGGTCATGCCCGGGCGGTCATGTTTCCGAGCACAACTTGGGTGCCCGGGAAAACGGCCTAGGAAATTTTATTTATTTTTTTTCATTTTTTTCTTATTGCTGATGGGATAACATGGTGCACATGTTTCCTTTATTCTTTTTTTTATGGACAGATGCAAAGATAAAACGGAAAAAGGATTTAAAAAACACAAAATAGTCAAAGACGTTTTTGTTTTTTTTGTTTTTTCTTTTCGGTTTTTGACACACACACACATACTGATTGACTGATTGATTGATTGATTGTCTACCGCGTGGGCGAGGGGAACGCAGCCCTAAGGTAGCCAAATCAATGAGACTAAGAGCTCGCACAAGAGAGAGAGAGAGAGAGAGAGAGAGAGAGAGAGAGAGAGAGTTTTGTTCCATTTGTTGATACGAGTGAGAGGAAGAGAGAGAGAGAAAGAGAGATAGAGAGAGAGGGAGGTGGGGGGCCTACCAGAGAGAGACAGAGAGACAGAGAGACAGAGAGACAGAGAGAGAGGCTTAATGACAAAATTGAAATATAGGTCAAATTGCGGCCGCGATCTATTTCGCAGTTGGAATGATTTTTTTTAATTTATCTAGCGTTTTTCCTGGAAAGGTCACAAGAAAATCTACGAGTACTCCAGTTTTCAAGTTTTTTCACGCATTCTTATGAGAGTGAAAACTCACTAAATTTGGAGTACTTTTTAAGTTGGCCCACATATGGCTGAGTGGCAAAAATGGAAAATGTGCCCAATCGGCGTGACGATTATTTCTCTGTCTAAATGATTTTTTTTAAATGTTCTAATTTTTTTCCTAGAAAGAACACGACCTCATATATGGATTTTCAAAATTTCAGATTTTTCTGCAGGTCTAAGCACAGAAAATCGTCAAAAGTGCCTCTTGCAAAACGCCTGTTTCGTTGCGAGTGACCTCCCTGTTTTGAGAAGACGGGCCTCAACGCCTGGGCCTAAGGGCCCTTACCCCACCCCCACTTCTTTTTGGGGTCCACTTCCACCCAAGGACCGGTCCTTGCTTTTTTCAAAAGTCCCGGTCATTCCAGAGTTGCCTGTAGGTAGTCCCCAATTTTGCCAAGGACGGGTCCCCCCCAAACTTTTGCCCCCTAAAAACCCACTTTGTGTCCTGGTCGCCCGCCGCCGAAAATGCGACACCTTGACGCAGATACTGAAGCCCACTATACCGCAACCTTAGGGCTGCGAATAAAGGTGCACGACTGCGCGCGCGTGTGCGCTCGCGTGTGTGTGTGTGTGTGTGTGTGTGTGTGTGTGTGTGTGTGTGTGTGTGTGTG